CTCATGAAGAAAACAATATTTCATCGTCTACGACATTACCAGAGGGACCACAATTCATGGCTAAAGGGTCAGATCTTTATAACAGATGGGTTTTCGGAAGTGGCTGGGAAAACCTCAGATCCAGCCCCAGCGGTTCAGCCGATACATTTGAAATACACTAAAGAGCTCGAGTCAAACAGGTCCCTGTCACCACCGCCCACCCCAGCAATTAACAGGCTTGGCTGGACTGCCAGGAACCAAACTATGATTGATTTTTCTGTTCAAGTGAGAAAAAGCAGGGCCCTCCATTGTGGGTGCCGGCATTAATCCACGTGGGAAAGAGCTGGGACTTCCAAATGGCCACGTGAGTAAGTTACACATCTGAAACCGCAATTCTCTCAACCTGGATTCTCAGCCACTCGGGAAGCCTCTCCTCCACCCCGTCAAACCCTGTAGCGTGGGCTTTGTGTACGCTATGGAGGCAAATCCAGAAGCTGCAGCGTGAGCAGGAAGCCCAGGGGGTCCCTGCCTCTCACTGTACAGATGGGAAAACCGGGCCACGGGGCCAAGCCACTGGGCCAAGTTCCCCACGGCGGCAGCAACCCTACTGGGAGCCAAGCGGAAGTCTCCTAAGCCTATTAACACACATCTGTATTAATCTGCCATACATATGATACACATGTGTGTACGTATTAGAGAGAAGTGGCTTTTTATAACCTAAACACACATATAGGAGTGTTTTAACGAGGCCCTCGGTGAGCATCATTTGCCAGGAGGGGAGGTGTAAGCCACGGGCACAAGGCTCCCTGCAGGCAAAGAGAGCAGAGCGAGCGGCTGGGAATGGGCCGCCCGGTGGGTCCCACTGCCCAGGAGGGCAGAGACCCAGGAGGGAGCAATTTGGGCCTGTGGGCAGGGCCCATCCCGGCCCGGCCCGAGCCTGTCAGCGCTCAGCTCTGGTCCTGGTTTCACGTCTCACACACTGTTTTTGTGCATTTGACAGCCACCAGCTTGGCGGTGTTTCGTGTAAATAGAACAGGTCACGCTTACGTTTCAAACCCACCACCGTTTCCTTCCTCCAGTCCCCCAACGGCCACTCCTGCCCCCCTCTGCTTGTTCACTGCACACAACTCTCTCCACACACGCACAAGCCCCAGCAAGTCGGGCTTCCTTCGGGTCCTGGAACATCGAGGTGTTTCTGCCTAACTGGCTGCGCCCTTGCACCCTCCCCTGCTGGGCCTCACGTCCTCCAATGGCTGGTCCTTCTTGTCATTCTCTGGCCACCCCATCTAAGGTGGACGGACCTCCTAGCCTCCAGCACGCCGCCCTGTGACACTTTCCTCATCACAAGTATCCCTCTAGAATATTTATTTTTGTTGTTACTCCTCACCTGAGGATATCTTCCCATTGATTTTTAGTCAGAGTGGAAAAGAGAGGAAAAGACAAAGAGAAACATCAACGTGAGAGAAAAACATCCATGGTTGCCTCCAGCACATGCCCCGACCAGGCCCGGGCCAGGGAGGAGCCTGCAACCAAGGTACGTGCCCTTGACCGGAATTGAACCCGGGACCCTTTGGTCCACAGGCCAATGCTCTATCCACTGAGCCAAACCAGCCAAGGCTAGAATGGATTGATTTGCATGCTTGGCACCAATGTTCCCTGAGCTGGACTGTGAGTGCCACGAGAACAGGGCATTTGCTATCTTGTCCATTCTCTTATCCTCATGGCCTAGAAGGTGCCTGGCAGTGACTGGTTGCAAAATAGATCGTGGCATCAAAAGTTACTTGGGCTAGCCCTAACCGGTTTGGCTCAGTGGATAGAGCATCGGCCTGTGGACTCAAGGGTCCCAGGTTCGATTCCGGTCAGGGGCATGTACCTTGGTTGCGGCACATCCCCATGTGCAGGAGGCAGCTGATGGATGTTTCTCTCTCATCGATGTTTCTAACTCTATCCCTCTCCCTTCCTCTCTATAAAAAATCAATAAAATATATATTTTTTTAAAAGTTACTTGGGCTGGAAGAAAAAATCTCTCCAATAGCAAGATCCCAGCTGCAGGTGGGAACGGAGTGAGGGGAGAGGCTGTACCTCTTCGTGCTCAGAGTCTAGAAGGGACTTCTGCACGGGAAAGAGCAGAGAATTAACGCAATGGTACGTCTTTATGCTGCGCCCACTTACGCTCTCAAACACCCTGCTGAGTGGCACCGCTTGATTTCCAGGCCGCTTGCTCCGTTTCTGTTCCATTTCAGAATCAAGGTTGAGCCCGTGGAAGAGCATTCAAACGGTGCCTCAGCAAGTTCAAGTGAGGCACGCGTGTGGCCCTGGCTGCATTATGAAAGGATTGCTCTACTACTCGAGATTCTGGACACGTGTGTACACAGAGCGTTTTCAATTGCATTTGAGATGGCGAAGAGCAATTCTACGGCACTTTGGGGCTCCTGAGAGCCATCCAATGGCTATGAGCTCCGTGGACAACAGGGAATGTGGGTCGACAAAGGCTCTTTGAAAACGTGGTCCTGGAACTTCTACATTCCCCGGGCCCAGCTGTGGGTCCCCTGTCCTTGACAGTCCTCACGCCCTGGGTCTAACCGGCACAGCGAGAGGCATTTACAGATGAAAGAACCAAAAGAGCACACAGCACGGACGCAGCAGAGGAAGGCCCGGCAGCCGCTGCTGCACTGTCACCTGCCATAACAAGACGGATCTGCAGAGAAATAAAAGGTAATGCAATCCAGAGGCAATAACTGGGGCTTCCTCTGAGAGTGTCTGATGTTGTCGACTGGCAAGCCTGCCTCCCTCTCCGGCCTGCCCTGGTGCACAGCAGCCCAAACATGCACGGGCTCCTCTCACGCACGCACTCCCTGCCAGAAGCACGCGTTCGCAGAGCAGCACCTCCACTCCCTCGACTGCCCGGGCATCCTTGGACAAGCCAAAGCCAGCGGGGCCCGGACGCTCACGGCGTGGCCAGGAGGCCAGAGCCACTCAGACGTGCCCTGTGTGGACGGGCTGCAGAGACGACCCCGTGGCTTCTATTCATCTAAAGCCACGTAGTTGTCTCGTTGTTTGTTTCCAGTCCAATTCAGGGCCCCCAGGTTCCGAGTGAACGGCCCAATTCCGGAACAGAGCGGCAGTCACAGAACATGTCGCGGAGTCGTGTTCTGGATCGTCTGTGCGACACCGAACCTTTTGTCTTGGCCCGGTGCGACTGTCACTGGTACATTTTTACCGTCACGTTTTACTGAGCATTAACTTCACAGCGAGAATGGCCAGAAGCAAAGGGAGAGGAGGAGGCCCTGGCTGGCACGTCCTTTGCCATCATTTCAGAGATAGTCTCTCCATACGAAAGGATCCTCCAAGGCCGGTGCCATGTAAATAATTCACAAGCACCAACTCCGTGCTCTCTGCTTGAAATCCTAGTGACATCGTCTAAGGGGACTGCCACCTGCCAGCGCGCAGGGCACTGGGTGGCTGGCAGCTTCCGTCTCTGGAAGATGCTATTAGGCCTCGCCAGCCAGTGCCTTGGAGATGATTATAACTTCTGCTCTGCATATCACTGTTACTGACAGGCAAATGCCATCCATCAAACAGCATGACGGATTTAAAAAGAAGGCAGACCTGACAGGGCCGGCCCGATGGGCCATTTTTTATGCCGATGACAACAACCAGGGACGCTCACACGCTCCCGCAAGACGGTCGAAACGCGGGCATTCTGTGCCCCGGAAGGGGACACGCCATTCAGCACTGGGTAGTGCTGGCAGTCCGGTCCGCAGGAAACAACCCATCTCTCTCCCAGAGCGTCCCACCGAGCCCCCAATCTGTCCAGGGGGAAAAAGAAAAAGCAACCGCAGCCAGGGGTTCTGACGGCGACCCTTCCATGACGTGAACGGGCGCGGCTCCTTCTCAGTTTTGCTCATCTGTTAGTCTCTAGCCAAATGGAACATATTACTTGTAGCTTGCTGGGATTTATGAATTATTTATAAAAGCAGGTCTCTGACTGCAGACTCTTAAAAGACAACACAACAGTCCCGCTCACTGTTACCCACAACTGCGCTTCTATCAGGGAGAGCAGGCCGACGTTCCCGTAGCACGTGCTGCCTGTCGGGGGTGAAATAATAGTTGTGGAAATAGCAAGCCTTTAAGATGATGCGGAAGCTATTTATGGCAAGCCTGGATGTATTTTTAAACCAGGCTCCTCTTCTGAGCCAGACTTGGATTCAAGGAAGACGGAGCAGACTGTGCTACCAACATAGCTCCCAGCTTGAATACAAACCGTTATTCCCTGCCACGCTGCCCACTAGCTTCTGACTGTGACAAAAGCGGGAATGAGGCTGGTCCCCCTGCGTGAAGGTCTAGCAGGTTCAACCAGGCCATGCCCCTGAGTCTCCCAGGGCCCTGCGTCCTATGTGGGGACAAAGACAGACACGCACACTCGGGGTCAAGCATTCAGTCTCCAGCTCCCAGAGCACGTGACCTTGGCTGGCCAAACAGACAAGACATTGCCCACCCTTGCCTGGCCCTGTTTCTGGCACAGACCCAGTCAGAGGGGTTGTGGGGGGCGCCTGGGTTGGAGGGCATGCAGTGACCGGCCAGCTGTGGCCTTGCCCACACCTCCGGGACAGTGACACGGTTGTTTGGCAAACGCCCACGTGAAGCCGGCCTAGGGAGCCCTGTGCAAGCTCCGGCTGGCCCTGAGCGATGGGGCCTCCACCTGGCCGCCTCCAGAGACACCTGCTCTTCACCCATCACAAGTCCAACAGCGCCCCTGCCCCGACGGGCTCAGCCACGAAGGGTCCCTGCCCCAGTTGTCCCGTCCCCATCCATCCCCCAAACATGGTCCAGAGGAAGACCCGGAGGCTGGATGGCACTTCAGGCCACCTCAGGCCATTGTCCTCATCTGGCCTCCTAAAGCCCCCGTGACATGTGCAGAGAGAATAAGAAGCCCCATGACCCTCGGCACACAGACTATATACCCTTCTTCCCCAAACAGCACAGCCAATGGGAAAGCAGGCAGAAGGCAGTGACCTTACCTTGCTGAAACACGTCTGCCAGGAGGGAGGAGAAACAGGGCAGGAGGGCGGGGAGAGAGAGAGGAGAAAGAAAATTAATAATAATGTTGAACATGACCATGACGATAATCATAGTGAACGTATGCTGACTGCTTAAGCACTCCACGCGTATGTAGTTCCTTTAACTCGGAGGCAGCGGTTAAGAGCTTGGGCTCTGGCATGAAACCGCCCTGGCTTGAATCCTGGCTCGACACTTACTAACTCTGTGGTTGACATTCTCTAAACCACAAGTAGACGGGAGTATCGGGAAGATTAAACAAATCGTGGCTGATGTCTGCAGGGCTCAGAACGCTGCCCGTGACGTAGTAAAGGCACAACGTCTGGTCATTGAGATTTTTAATACTCTCATTTTCACAGCACCTCTGCAGAGTAAGCTGGGGGATCATGCTCATTTTACGGGTGGGGCAACTGAGGGTCTGGAAGGCTGAGTAACTCATCCCAAACCACAGACAAGTAAGTAATGGGGCTCAGGAGTGAACCCAAGTCAGTTGGATTCCAGAAACCATCTTCTTAGCCACACCTGAGCTGCCTGGACCGGCTTATAAGTAACAACAAAGCAGCAAGGACACACAGGAGGATAAACAGAGGAAGGGCCTATGAATCTTGAAATCATATAAACAAAACATGGGTGTCAATTCCCCGCATCATAACTCACAACTAAGACTATGCCTTCCTATGAAATCCTAGATCAAAGGTGAAAAAAAAATTATGTTTCAACAAATACTTGCGAGGCTACCATATGCCAAGCACTGTGTCTGGCACTGGGAGCCACACTTCTAGCAAGAAGCATAAATGAGCAAGCAGTCACTAACACCCCCCTAAGGGGAACCCTAGCTTGACTTCTAACACCTTACATTGGCTTTGACTATTTTTGAACTTTATATAAATGGACTGATTCCGTGTGAATTTATTCTGTCTGCCTTCTTTGCTCCACAGGGTGTGGGTCCCCACGCTGTAGTCTGTAGCAGGTCATTCATGCTCACTGCTGTATAGTATTCCATTGGTAATGAGATCATCATTTTTCAATTTCATGGAAGCATTTCTGTATTGTTCTAAATGTTAACAATGAACATGTCTTACACATTTATAATCTAAACTTGAAAACAAGTTATTTTCATCTCAAAAACTAAGTAAGAACTGTATCATCAACATCTAAATTTGTTGCCAGCCATCCCCACTAACCCATCAGCTCCAACAAGGTCACGGAGAGCCAACGGCCCATGAATGGTGTGGATGAGATGTGACCAGGTGGGTGAGACAGACGGCACGGACAGAACACCTGTGGGAGCAGTTTTCATTTCAACGGAGCACACGTGACCCCCTAAGGAGCATCACTCCCATTCCATACACCTCCACCCAGGCCAGACCGAAGACTCCCAGTTCCAGGGAGGTGGCTAAATACCGCCCTTTCTCTCGCACTCGTGAACACCAACTGGGATGTAAATGGCCCGTATTGGTACCTTTGTGGAAAAACGTTAACTCCGCTCTAATTTATATGTGCTCTGTCATTCTCTAACCCCAGTCATTCATCTCGAGCCCCAGCAATTCATTATGAGCCACTCACCTCCCATCCGCGGACACTGCCCAGAGCCTGACAAGAACCAAATACAGCTCCCTCAGCAAACCAAGGTCATGTACACCTGCTGCCTCCAACACAGAGTCTGCACCACCCACTTTGACCAGCCTGCTCACTTGCAGGAGCCCTCCTCCTGGCCTTCAAATGTCATAGCCACTGCGAGGTTTCCCAGAGCCCACCCCCACGAGAGGGAAGTCAGCGTCCGCCTCTGTGCTCCCAGAGTAACGTGTGCGCCTTGCAATTACAGCTCCTATTATAATTAGTTATTTATGTGGGCCCTGAGCTCCTGAGGGCAGGGGCTAAGTGTCTTCATCACTCTGGCGACTCCTAACCGCCAGGCGTGGTATGCTCCCACACCAGCGAGAAGGAAAGAGGGCTGGTCTGTCTTAACACCCACCTGGTCCAACCCCCTCATGTTACAGAGTCCCAGGGACGGGAGAGATTCTCCCCAAGGCCACCCGTGGCGCTAGAGGCTGAGCCAGGACGACACTGAGATTCATTTGACCTTAATGAAGCACGAAAGCCCATCCCTGTTAGCAAAGTACAAATTCGAGATTTATCATGCTCCTCTAATGAAAACAGACAAAAATTTCCAACCCTGGAAACATCATGAAATATGATTAGTCTTTCAAATACGGATCCAGTCTCGACATCTGTCCACAGTCCTCAACCTCCTCTCCGTGGCTTTGACAGGGAGCACTTCCTTCGAAATTCAGTACAGATTTGAATCACTGGAAAGCATCAGCGAGTGGGCAGGGAGGGAGGAAATTGGGGCAGGGATATAGTGACCTTATTCCTTCCAAATCCACTTGGTATTCCATGTTTTCGCAGGCAAATCTACACAAATACTAGTCATATCTTCTCCTCCAAAAAAAAAAAAAAAAAAATCTCTCTTGATTTCCATAGGAGCTATTTTAGATTTCTAAAAGAACCCTTTTTTCAGCTTCATTGACATTTGCACCTTTTTATTCAAATGTAAATTTGAATAAACACCAGTATAAATATTGCAACAATTTTGCCCATGACTTATCTTGTAATTTACACTGTAAATTTATGTCTTTTGTAGTCTGTGGCATAAATCATTTTGTCGTTAGCATCATTTAGCTCTTTGCTCTGTATACTAATGGCTTGGGTTCCTCCTTTAAAATTGGACTTTCCCGACTGAGCCAGCCATCCAGGCTCAAATGGCTCATGGACAGAAGAGCAAAAAATAAGTGAGAAGACAGTAAGTTTTGTGCTGTTTGGCTACATTTTACCCACCCCCACCCCCCTCACACACACACACACACACAAGCCTCCAATTGTGGGCCTCACACAATATTAGCCACAAAAATACTCTTTTCTTCACTGGTGTTCATGCCCAACACCCCCGTCTCCCAAACCATAGGCACCAGTCCCTATGAACGAGCCTCACATTGGAGTGTGATCTTCTTTGAGTCTGACCAGCCCCTAGGAATTACTTGGGAGTCAGTCACACTCTGAGCAGGAGTCTCCTCCTTGTTGAGGGCTGCAGCTCTGGTGCTGGGAGGTTAAGTTAGAGAACTTGCAGGAACACGTTCCCATCAGCGGTTGTGGGGGATCCCTCGAGAGGAAGACTCGGCACCATTCGTCTGCTCTCCCCGGAAATGGAACTCACCCGAGTTCAGAGGTGGGGGCCTCCACCCTAACCACAGCCAGGTTGCGCCCAGGGGCCTCCAGGGACACTTGTGCAGAGGAAATGAACTCCTTCGGACAAAGCCCTGCTCTTACTCACTTCCCCAGGGAGAAAACCTCACAACCCAGTCCTTCAGGGGACAAAGAAGGCCTGTGCTCCAGCCCCACCCCCAACCCCTGGAGCCACGCTGGTCCTATAGATAGATGAAAGGCCATGGGTGGAATGGCCTTTCAGATGTGGGAAAGAGAAAGGGGGGAAGAAGGACTTGAGATAAGCCTCTATGTCCAGTTTCTTCAACGAGGAATGAACATCAAGGATGCCTGCCCCCTCCCGCATCCCTGCTGAGAGACTCACACCCCAGAGACGTTTAATGCACGGAGTCCTCCGGAGACAGGGGCCGTAAAAAGACTAGATTATTTATTAGTATTAATAAGTGATGGCAATTAGGCCGGGGGATTCCTAAACGCTGCTGATTAAAAACTTTCGGGAGCACTGCTCGTCCACATGGCCAGTGTTTACCTCTATTAAAAATGATTTAACTCCACCGGGTGAACCCCTCTCCTGCGCCCGGGTTAATAATCAGCCGTGCACAGAGCCACGCGGGTTAAGTGAGTTGGCGCTCCTTTATTTATCTATGGCTTTGTTTTATGAGCAGACCTGGATGGCAGTCTTATTGCCCCTTCAGTCTGCTAAGAATAATTTACTATTTCGATCCACATAACTATAGTCAGGAACGCTCTCACTATTATTACCATATCACACTTAGCCCACAGCCCGTGGCATTAAAGATAGGCCAAACCGTGACAAGTGTGCCCGACTTCCGTTAAGACGGGAGGAAGCAAAGCTACTGGTGCTCAGACTATGTAATCATACACTCTCTCACTTTTGCTTTCTTTTCTAGGGTAAATTATATATGAGGGGAGTTTAGTTTCTTGAAAATGCATGCACTTAACTCCCATTTAAGAGCTCTCACCTGGGGAGACAGCTGTCTTTGTGAGTCCTCCTGTGGTTTGAGCTAGAGAAAGAAAAGTCTCAAGTACGAGTGCTTTTACAGTAAAGCACAGTAACTTTTACCAGGACCCAACTAACCAGGGGCAGAGGAAAAGAGGGAGGGAAGAGTGGGATGAATGCTGATTCCTGGAGTGGGGTCAGGTTCACCATGAGCCAAAGTCAACTTCAAGGTGGGCTAGGCAGTTCCCTCACCAAATTTTGAAGCCCAGCTGGCTCTCTCCATGGCTATGAAGAGTACCAGAATGCAGTCTGTGGCTTTTGTGTCCTGCAAACCCTGTGAATGAAGTGAATTCTTTCTTTCCTATGCTGGAAAGTGGGTCCCTCCAATGCCTCCCCTCTTGGTGAATGCTGGCACTCCAAAGTAGATTCCCATTGACAAAGCCTAGTTCCAAAATGGCAGGTGGGCTTCTCAGGGAGGGCAGGGTTATTTCCTTCTCTCCCAGATGCATTTCAGGGCCATGTCACCACATGACGGTGGCCACCAGATCCCATGACCTAAGACTGGGTCCCAACTCCTCATGAGGTAGAAACCTGGTAGGGTTGAAGGGGACCTCTTGTAGCCTGTGTTCTCACCTAATAAGTGGGGATGGTTGAGATACACTTTATCCTACCACAGGGATATCATGAAGGTCAAGGCAGGTAATTTAATCAGCATAGAGCCCATGGACTGAGGTTCATGATCCTGGGCTAGGTTCAGATCCTGGGCTAGCTAATTAACCCGTCTTGGTCTCCATT